CCCTCCCTTTTCCACATACTCTCTGCTCTGGAACGCTAGTGGACGCAGGTAGACGCCCTGGCGCTGACGTATGCTTGTGGTCACTGGTGAACGCTGCCGCAAAGTATGAACGCAGCTAATGCTTTTCATGAAGGAGTACAGAGGCACGGTCAAGTGGTACCTGTAGGATATTTACTCAACCCCGTGAAGTCAATATTTGATCATCTTAGTTTAGTTATCTCACCTAAGTCCAAAGTCGCCTTCAATGTTGACCAGCCGATTCGACATAAGCCGTCACGCGTTATCTTAGCTTCATAATAATATTTACCTGTAATAACAGTTTGAATACTTAATAAAAAATATTACAAGTCCCTTTCAAAATGGAGATACCTTTTGAGTGAACGCCTCCCATGCACCTTGAGCCATACCACGCCTTTGGTACACGACTTTCACATGACAACCCATCCTGAGATAGCGATAAGCCCATAGCACGATCCGCCAAATTCAGTCGCCAACCAACGGCTTGAAAAATTTAATATGCGAAATCTATTTCGCCAATATATGAAATATACCAGTCGGATCGCCCGGCTGACGCCGAGCTCTCCTCCTTCTCTCTGGCTCGGCTTCGCCGAGCTGGCCTGGCTTCGCCAGGCGCGCTCCATAATGGGGAACGGAACGGAACTCTTTCAATCACTGCGTTGCTCATACAGCTCTGTATTGGTACAATCATAACAGATAGAGCAACCCTGCGGATCCTGCGTTCCATAGTAAACGCTTATACTTGCGGTCCGCGCCATAACGGCCATACAACACAGACAGGGTACAGCATCCTTGTGTGAAACACATGGGTACTGAGGGGGGTCGTATTATGCGGTTGGGTTATTTTTTCCTACTCTAGAAAAGTGGGGGTTGTATTGATTTTTTTTGTTTTATATGCACTATATGCATTCTGTACGCCCGTGGGATATACGTTTCATAGTTATTGTGTGCCCCCCCCCCCCCCCCCCCCCCCCCCCCCCCCCCTCAGTCGACATCGACATTATATAGAGTAGGATAGTGGGATGTGGGATGAGTTCATTTTCTAGTGTTATCAGGAAAGTGTTGGCCAAAGGAAAGTTTCACAATCTGAGCCTCGAATACTCGGCATTAAAGCGGTGAGAGGTTAGCGCAGATGGTATCGTATCAATTTTTATCGATTGATAAGATTACCTGTCACCCGTCATCAATGTCCTCATCACTAAATTCACTAAATCTCTATCATTTGAGAGCGTGAACCGCCTTGAACAGCGACGACGACTGCAACCTCCATTATCAGCCCCTATCAGTAGTTATCGCTTCTAGTCACCCACGGTTGATGTTCCCAACTCACTCTCTATATCACTTGCTGAAACGCACGCCTCGCTGATACTGTGACCTGCGCTATGAATACGATGACCTCACTATTCTAACGTCCCTTATCGAATCTTATCAGCAGCTCACAAATCTTGTTACCCACCAATAATGATTTTGGCCCTCATCCTATATCATATCTCGAAATCAAGAGCTGACTGCTGCTGTGACCTGCGCTGTGAATATGGTAACCTTTTCCTTCTAACGCCCCTTATCGAATCTTATCAGCAGCTTACAGTTTTCGTGACCCACTAATGATGTTCTTGGACTATCCTCTATATCATATCTGAAGATCGAGAGCAAGCTGATGCTGTCACTTGCGTTATGATTATAGTGACCTTCTCCTTCTACAGCCCCTTATCGAATCTTATCAATTGATATAAATTCCTGTCACCTACCAATAGTGTTCCCGTCACACCCCGTACATCACTTCTTGAAATCATTGTCTCACTGCTACTGGGACAGGCGCTATGAATTTCGTGACACACAGACAGACGCACACACAAACATACACACACACACGGACAGACATACTTAGCGGATTATATAGAGTAGGATAGTGGGATGTGGGATGAGTTCATTTTCTAGTGTTATCAGGAAAGTGTTGGCCAAAGGAAAGTTTCACAATCTGAGCCTCGAATACTCGGCATTAAAGCGGTGAGAGGTTAGCGCAGATGGTATCGTATCAATTTTTATCGATTGATAAGATTACCTGTCACCCGTCATCAATGTCCTCATCACTAAATTCACTAAATCTCTATCATTTGAGAGCGTGAACCGCCTTGAACAGCGACGACGACTGCAACCTCCATTATCAGCCCCTATCAGTAGTTATCGCTTCTAGTCACCCACGGTTGATTTTCCCAACTCACTCTCTATATCACTTGCTGAAACGCACGCCTCGCTGATACTGTGACCTGCGCTATGAATACGATGACCTCACTATTCTAACGTCCCTTATCGAATCTTATCAGCAGCTCACAAATCTTGTTACCCACCAATAATGATTTTGGCCCTCATCCTATATCATATCTCGAAATCAAGAGCTGACTGCTGCTGTGACCTGCGCTGTGAATATGGTAACCTTTTCCTTCTAACGCCCTTATCGAATCTTATCAGCAGCTTACAGTTTTTGTGACCCACTAATGATGTTCTTGGACTATCCTCTATATCATATCTTGAAATCGAGAGGCAGCTGATGGCTGTCACTTGCGTTATGATTATAGTGACCTTCTCCTTCTACAGCCCCTTATCGAATCTTATCAATTGATATAAATTCCTGTCACCTACCAATAGTGTTCCCGTCACACCCCGTACATCACTTCTTGAAAATCATTGTCTTACTGCTACTGGGACAGGCGCTATGAATTTCGTGACACACAGACAGACGCACACACAAACATACACACACACACACGGACAGACATACTTAGCGGATTATATAGAGTAGGATAGTGGGATGTGGGATGAGTTCATTTTCTAGTGTTATCAGGAAAGTGTTGGCCAAAGGAAAGTTTCTCGTATCTCGTGGATACCCTAAAATTATTCATTCGGCCAATAATTTCTAGATTCTCGAAGTCACAGACAAAGGTAGTACCTCTCTCGGCGGATGAGCAAACGGGGTCGCACCGAAGTTTAGCTCGAGTGATGAGTTTTGGACCAGAACTGCTGGATGCAGTGCACATTGCGGACTGGTGAACTTTGTATCCAATCGAAAAGCAACTTCGAACTCCTTGCCATTCTTCGACCACCTGAGAAATCACGAAATAGAAAACCCCAAGTTTTCTACCAGTTACTGGTTTTCATAACTGCTTAGAACGGACCACATCCTCCCATTATCGATATCCAGGAAACATCCCATAACATCACCAGTTGTGAATGATTCGCCATAGTCCTCAAACTTTCGCTTTGTGCTCTTTTTACCGGTACCACCAAAACCAAAACTCTCGTCATCAGTGCCTGGAAATCATACATTGGAGGGCGCTAACGTAGTGGAGGGAGGTGGGGGGGGGGTTGGGGGACCATTCGCCAGCGCCTCCACCTCCCTTCCTCTAATCAAGGCCTAGAGTGTGCCTCACTCCTCTACGATCCCGCCAGCCTGGTCTTCTGCGTTCTAAGGCAGCGTTCATACACTGCGGCAGCGTCCGCAACCGACCACCAGCGTTTCGAGCGTCCGCCAGCGCCAACGACTAGGAAAGTATAAGTATCCATCTAGCGAACGCCAGCGTCACCAACGTTTGTCAGCGTCCACTAGCGTCCAGGAGTAGAGTATGGGAAGTAGGAGGGTAGCAGACAGCTGGATTAGGCGTCGTGAAATTGCGGCGTGTGCAGCTGCACCGTACAACTGCTAAAGCACAGAATTAGGCTGTTTCGTGCGCGGTGGTGTAGGTGTAGTGTAGTTGTACGATGCGGTTGCACACGCTGCGATTTCGCGCCTGATCCAGCTGTCTGCCACCCTCCCACTTCCACATACTCTCTGCTCTGGAACGCTAGTGGACGCAGGTAGACGCCCTGGCGCTGACGTATGCTTGTGGTCACTGGTGAACGCTGCCGCAAAGTATGAACGCAGCTAATGCTTTTCATGAAGGGGTACAGAGGCACGGTCAAGTGGTACCTGTAGATATTTACTCAACCCCGTGAAGTCAATATTTGATCATCTTAGTTTAGTTATCTCACCTAAGTCCAAAGTCGCCTTCAATGTTGACCAGCCGATTCGACATAAGCCGTCACGCGTTATCTTAGCTTCATAATAATATTTACCTGTAATAACAGTTTGAATACTTAATAAAAAATATTACAAGTCCCTTCAAAATGGAGATACCTTTTGAGTGAACGCCTCCCATGCACCTTGAGCCATACCACGCCTTTGGTACACGACTTTCACATGACAACCCATCCTGAGATAGCGATAAGCCCATAGCACGATCCGCCAAATTCAGTCGCCAACCAACGGCTTGAAAAATTTAATATAGCAGACAAATCACCTCTGCTCTCCATCTTCAAGGGAAAACCTATCTTTTGCAATATACGAACATCTTTCTGTCGCTTGTGGGCGGACCATCTAAGGAATGACACAAGCACAAACAGAAAAACTTACAAGACTTCGCTCCACCACCCGTTCCCTCTTTGCGCCTCTCCCACACTATTTGAACCACCGGTAGAGAGAATGCTCCGGTCTTACCACTACCAGTTTCAGCAGCCTAGAATAGGCTTTCACATGAAATATAACCAAACTGCAAAACACGGTTATATGAAGCTTCATAGAAACGCACTATGAGTACATCGCCTCCACCAAGGATAGCCGGAATCGCATCGCATTGAATGGGAGTTGGCAGTCTGAATCATAGGATTTCAATTCACAAATTTTATAACTGTGTAAGTTTATACAAGCAAAGTTTCACAAATCAAATAATTTCACTCAGATTAATATAAAGTTCACTGGAATCGAAACACTGTTATAGTCCCGATACTCAGAAAAATGCAGACTGTAGGGAAAAATTGGACGTAAAGGATAAACTCAACCAATCAAAAAACACTGGAAATGGAAATCTACTACGTTAAAAAACGAATAAATGAGAAAAAAAGACTGAAGAGATCGACAGCGAAGAAGTACTCATCAACCAGATATTTTATTTTTATGGATATTGCACTGATAAACCATTTTTTCTTCCTTCCCTAAAAGTACGTTCATGCTTCGCGTCAGAGTTTAAACATGCCAGGGTTTGGGGTTTTGGGCAAAAAGAAAAGGCTACACAAAGCGTAAAAAAACCGTGTGCTGGGCGTAACAAAGCGATACTTTGACGCGAAAATAGTCGTTGAAACCAGTTGGGCGCTCCACTGACGCTTCATATCCCGGGGCGGAGAGGGTGTGGCTGCGCACTTCATCTTCGGCGGCTGCGAGTGAGGAATAAAGCCGCGCCCTCTCTACCGCTGTGATATGGAGTATAAATTAAAACAATGAAAACTTGCAAGTAGGGTAGTGTCTTACCCTACTTGCATGCAAATTTACAAGTAGGTTAGTCCTAAAGATTCTCCGCTGGACCAAAAAACACTTCATAGTCAGAATTTATCATTAAAATCTTTGAACACTTACTCCCATCCGAGTTCAGAAACTGCATCACCCAATTCGGGAATGACTCCCAACTCTTCGAAAGCAGTCATAGCGAGCTGAAAAGCATGAAAGCTGGTCAAAATATCAGCATAACTGACAAAACATTACATTATTGAAAGATCACAGTATTTGATCGCTAAACGAGCATATCACAGAAACGAACTACGGAATACTTCTTTTATTGGGAGATCAAAACAATGTGCCAAGCATTATAAACAGCAATATACACGGCAGACAAATGTCTTCATTCGAAAGACTGCAGACGGGCTGATAAAATCAAGACAATGTAAAAAGATAGATAAAGTTACTTAGAGTAAATTTAGTCATCAGTATTAACAAAGATGAATCAGAGTCTCAACTGACACTACAAATCAATGCACACAAAAAGAACAAAAGAGACGGAAGCTCAGGTGCTATTCGGCTTGGGAGGAGCATTTCACACTTCGTACTTCTTTTGCTAATACTTGTTGATTACCACGTTCCCTGTAGTGTGCAGACTTTCGTCAAAAGTGAACCAAGCTCATGCTACTGCACATCTTAACAGGAATTTACAGGTCTTCACAGGAGGCATCAGCAATGGTCTAAGAGAACCAGCAAAATGTCTCACCAAGTCGAACGGCGTTGACGCATTAATAAGGGGGAAAAGAACTTATCGAGAAACTTCTAAAACAAGGAATTTAAAAGAAACCAATGACTTGAAGACAAAACCACCAAAATATCTACATTATATTAGACAGACCGGTTGATATTGAACATTACTTTCTACCAGCTTCAAATTTTCGTGCGCACAGAAATAAAAGTAGAAACCAAAAACTATCGTAACAAGCCCGGTCGAACTCTCAAGATAAAATGACATAAACATTGCAAATACCAGATCAATACCGCGTAATCAGAAAAAGCTCACTACAAAGTCCTGACTGCATCCGTCACGCTTCGAGCTACCATTCATTCATGCACCACTTGTTTCGGCCGATTCCTTGTCGCAAAGAATATTGGCGATAAGTTCACGTTTATAAGTAAGACGTCTTTTTTTCGGCCATAATTTCGTCAGCCATCTTTTTAAGGTACTCGTCTTCGATCTGAAGGAAAAAACGATAAATTATTTGTGCAAATAGGCAACTTCCATTGATATTTTCCTATTTATTTCCCACTCAACCGATTTATTTTTCAAAGTGACTGCCGCATATGGAGACGCATCCTCATTTTGAGCCTATTTAACCTTTACTCCACCACTTTCCGAAGTTTGGTCCGAAATCCTAATTTTGCAGCGCGTGCCGGCGCCCAAACCCTTCAGCCTCGTTTGAGGAAGGGGGTCATTGTAATCCCGCGAAGAGTATTCCTAGTTCCAGTCGCTAACTTTAGCGAGCAAAATTACGGTAGAAATTCAACGTGGATTTTGACTAGGCACCATATTGCCGTAAGCAGTAGATCATACCTTAATTTTACGCAACATTCGAGTACGTCGAGCCGTCGTATTGTCCGGCCGATTTGCAGGTTTTGGTTTCGCAGCTGCAGCGTCGTCTGCCATGGTTCTGCTCTTGATTTGACACCAGTTATGTAAGTTCAAAAAGTCTAAAAAATAAATGCAATAAATGCAAACACGTATAAGCGGCACGTGCATTCCCGCAAAAGGCAAATCAAAAAGGCGATGATTTGATCCGCTGTGTAGCGGTGTAGAAACCAAGGCTATTGTTAAACAGTTTGTAGCGAGCGGCAGTTTGCCGGGGCAAGGAAGGGATTAAATTCACCACATGCGGAGGTGACTGTCGGGCCTTAAAGAGTTAGCACCAAGGCTAGTTTGCTGGACGAAGCAAATTCCTTGATGGGAAAGGGCCGATGAACAGGAAACGGAAACGGAACATGATATGCATACTTTCGCCGACCCCTCTCCAACATACTAACATGACATGAATGCAAATACTGCTCGTCCTAGTAAGGGCCTTCGAAAATAAAAATGGGGAGAAGTGGGGCTGTTAAGTGACTTGGCAATGAAAGAAAAAGCGAACGGAACTGCCCACAAAGCAAAACAGATCCCCTTGGACTGGACGATTTCTCCAGACTGGCTCATTTCATGCCAAAAACCGATACGGCCGCCGCTGTGTGCATCTGCATCTTGGGTCAAAGTCGTTCTTTCTCGTCCTCCACCGCTAAACGCCCACGAAAAAACAACAGAAATAGCACAGAGGTAACTGTTGTAACATAAACTCAATATGAGGCGGAGGTGGTGTAGTGACAAGTGGCGCGTTTACCATTCGCGCGCCGGGTTCGAATCCCGGGTCGACACCCGCCCAGGCCAACCAAGCCTTCTACCCTCCGGGGACGGTAAATTGGTACCAGATTCGTGGAGGATAAAACACTGACTTGTACATCGGCTGGCCACCGCAAGTCATTGTATAGGCCACATCGCATTCAATAAGCCACTACGATTCTGAATGGAAGTAGAATGCGTGCCGCATCAGGGATTGATCAACGGCGAAGACTTTATCCTTTATCCTCAATATAGAAACTCCTGGTAAAACTGCGACTATCGTAAGCTAACGGAATGCTGCACCAATAAAATTGCATCATCGGTGAACGAAGCAGCCTCAAAAGGAATCGCCTTTTGTGAAGTGCGTTGCTTTCACTGTGTGTGCCCTTTTTCAAAAAGAAGCTGTACCAGGAAAGCAGGGCAGTTTCCAGATCACTTAGGAGCTCCAGAGACGACGGAGACTTCAGGCAATTTCTACGTAGAATGACTGGCGCTCCAGTACCAGAGAGTAGGTCTTTCACGCCGAATCTTTAATGATCGAGAGTACAGTTTCGTTCGCTTTCAAAAATTGGAGGAAAATGGGTTTAGCGCCGGGCCATACCCATCCAGCTAGACACGCCCCTTCATCTGCAGCGAATGAGATTGTGTGGCCTTTGAGCAGAAAAAATGTACAAACCAACCAATGATTCTGTCAAAAAGATAAAGATACGGTTTGAACCACGGAAAGGAACAGAAAGCGGATTAAAATTCTATTTTATTCTCGTACAGCTCATGGGAACCGCTCACTAATTATTATTGGCTTAAACTGTTCACATTACTGAAAGCAGCCTTGCCTTTCAAACAAACTGTAAGCCTTGTGACAACGAGATCTTCAACAAAACAACATAAAAACTTTGACAACAATTCCGAAATAAATAACCCGAAATACAGAAAGCACCTAAAAACTAACAAGTCTGATACAGACAAAGAAGAGGAAAAGAAGGTCCCTTTTGATGACACGAAAAGTTTTCTAGTACGTGTTCTCAAGAGGAAACGAATAGAAAACAATCGTACACAGTCTATGAATGAACATCGTGAACTATGCAAAGGGGAAAGATGAAGAAATACTTTACGCCCGGAGTAAAGCCCGTTTCGCACCATCTTGCTCTTGGAAGTCTTCATATAACAGTCTCAAATCCTTTGAGCTCAACTTATTCCAGCACTATAAAATCCTCGTCAGCTACCACATCTAGTTTCCTTTTCTTGGCCACTTTCACGGTCACATCGCAGTCACTTTGCTTGCATTTCATCATAATTTGAGTCTGCTGTGCTCGCTCACCTTTGGGGCCAGCGACGATATAACTGAAAACGATCAGTTTAGTCATGCATGGCACAACAGAAAACTTTAGAAAACAGAAAACACAGAAAATACAAAAGTAATTAATGAAACCGAGTGGAAAGCTCTTACCTGTGAATCGCATACGGCGTGAAGTGAAAATCTTGTTTTAGATACCCGTTCAGAAGTGCATGGCACAAACTTGCTTCAATTATGAGCTGGAAAGGTGTACAGTAAGGAGCCAAAGGAGTAAAAAAACAGTTTTTCTTAGAGAGAGGTGATTTATCACGGAGAGAGGGAGAGAGAGAGAGAGTTGATTTATTACGGTACAAGATGGCTGAGAGAGGGTTGTCTATGATTAATGTTCTTGGAGGGCAAGACCAAGGAAAAGAAGAAAAGTATGGCGACGGGGAGGCATTTCGTGCTTTTGTTAGTTCCCATCGAGCCGTCAAGTGGAGGGCTTCGGAATATTGTAATGCCGCGATATGAATAGCAGCC